TTTTTATAGATTAATAGTAAATATTGTTGATAGAATAGTAAATTTGGTTAATCATCAAAACTTACTAGTTTGGGGCATAAATTTACTATTTTACTTAAAGAAACTTAAAATAATTTTATTAGAAAAATTTTTAGGCGCCTGAGAAAAAAATCTTGGCTCCGTCAGTGCATGTATCCCATTTGGCGTTCTCCTTCTCCCTAGCATAAAAGATGAGATTTGTTCACAAAAAGAGAGCAAGTTGGAGAAGATGAGGTTACTAGAATAACCAGCAGTAGAACAAATTCTCGTCTTGTATACCATTTGCCACGAATCCTTCATCATAGTTCCTCTTTTTTCCAATCTATCCTAATTTTAAATCCATTTTGCTCATTAGTATATTCAAATATTTAACTTAATTACAGGTTTAAAACCTCAAACCTCTTCTGGAAGTTGAGGCCGGTTTACATTGGATTAGACAAATTTTTGTTTGAGTTATGATTTTTTTCTTCAAGGAGTCAAAATGAACCTTTCATTCCTTTTGGACCATTTTTTCTTCAGGAATCCTGAACTCCATGGGGTTTTGGTTTTTCTAGTGACTTCTGACACATCAGAACCTTTTCAAACAAAACATACATTAAAATGATTGAACTGATGGTTCAGATGTTTTAACTGATAAAGTCAAAACCAATCACTCATTTTGTTCATCACTGGTCCGCCTTTTAAAATATTTTTAACCGCTAAAGTTGTTCAAAAAGTCGAATACTTTGAAAAAAAAAAATCTTCCCTGAAGTTTCTAGTAATATCATTTAGCACCCCTATAGTTCTCAAAGTATCACTTACCTTCCCCACAAGTGATGTGGCAAAAATTCACCATCGCAGCATGCAAAGTGAAAGTATTACCCTCACAACTTAAGATTATTTGTTCTAAAAGATTTTGGAAGGAAAAAGAATATAAATTGACAAATTAGAATGTCTATCTTAAGAATTTTTGGCACTTAAACCTTCATACTTTTTTAGTCCTTCTATGCCACCCATATATTACATTGTCCTTAATATTCTAATAATAATTTAGACAAAAAATCTAAAAAAAAATTAGATCAATATAGATAATTGCCATTTAGTAGTTAATTTTGCACTTAAACCCCCCTTTCCTACACTCCAACTTTTTTTAAAGTGCTTCTATGCCAACTTTATATTAGAATACCCTCCCTACTCTATCAATTATTCAAAAAAAAAAATTAGTAGATTAAGTACCAAAATTTTATACAACTAAAAATTTGATATTCTAAAAATTATATTTCACTTGAACACCCCTTTGATCCACTTTGAATACTCTAATGACAATCTTATATTAAATAGCCCTAGCCTTTCTAACGACTTTTTAGGCAAAAAAGTTTAGAAGGAAAAAAAAAACCAAAATCCATCAAAGAACGGTCATCTTAACAATTATTTTTTACTTAAACTATCCCTTCCCCAAACTTTTAGTTCTCCTGTGCCAACTTTATATTAACTGAACTCTCCTATCCTAACAATTGTTTGTGCAAAAAGAATCAAATGCACTTGAGCATCTTCTGAATTAAATGCAAATCCAGGGATTCGATCACCTAAAATACAAACTAATAAAGAATTTAAGGTAATAGAATGACATGTATCATTACTAGTGCATTTAATCCGGAAGCTGCTCAAGAGCACTCTTCTTGCCACCCATTTCCCATAGAACCTTCAGTCCAGCGGATCTAATCCCCTAGCTTGCATTTAATTTAAAAGGTGTTCAACTATACTTTTTTGGCCACAGCTTACTTCACATAGTGTTGGTTTAGGATTAGGAGTAGATTAGCTAATATTGTATCAACAAAAAAAAAAAAAGGAAAAAAAAAAAAGATAACCTAGACCCTTTGAATCCACTAGTCCTGGTGGTTTTCGACTAGGAGTAGAGTGCACCTTTTTAATAACTCCTTTTCCTTAATATAGGTACAGATTAACCTAGACGGTCTATATACCTGTTTGTAATAGCGTATGCAAATTTTTATTTAGTTAAGCTTGATTTTTCAGAGCTAATATTATTTTGTTTGGTATCCAGTTAAGGTAATCTATGCGTTACTAGTAGTTGTGCCTTCTCTCTGAATTGGGCTAAGTTCACCCGGTAATCTGGTATGTGGTTTTGACAGTCAAGAATTTGATGTAGTTAAGCTTAACTTTGGAAGGCTAATAATGGTATAATTAATTTCAGGATTATCTAATTAAGTTCAGTTTTGCAGATTGCTGAATCTAATTAAATATTGCACCGTAGTATGTTACCATTCTTAAGTTTTTGGACATCTTGGACTGGTTAAATGATTGTTTCGGTTACCTTTGTTTGCAGATTGCATGAGATCTTATTTAGTAGAAAGCTCTGTAGATTTATGGCTGGACCAAATTGACATACTTGGTAAAAAAAGAAAAGGCAATAATTGTTAAGTGTGCTTGTCTAGCAAAAACAATCACTGTATTGGTTCTACCACTATCGTGATTGTGATCAATATTTTCATCCTAAGTGCATTTGCCTGCTTGACCAATATCCAAATGTCAAATTTGGGGATTCCCTTCAAGTTGAAATTCACCCTCATGATCCTGCGGCAAATGTCTAGATGGTTATAGAGTCTTCAAATGTTTCCCATGTAATTTTCATCTGTGTCTGCAATGCATACGTGATATAATATATAAGTCCTAGCTCTGTTATTTTTGCTCCTCATGTTGGCGGGGCCATATGATAAAAAGTTTTTCCACAGCTACACTTAATACTTCCAATTCTATTATAAGCATATTCCTGTAATTGCTTACCTTCAAAAAAAAAAATTTCTCTCATCTCAGTTGAAGACTAGTGAAAACATGTAGTTCTTGGGATCAATGTTGCAGACATATCAGATGAGGTGTACAAAATTGGAAGGCTGAGAGTCTTAGACAAGAAAATATCAGATGAGGTGTACAAAGTTGGTAGTATAGATAACAGAAATGCTATCACATCATGATCCAACAGATGAGTTGTCAGAGCACATTCAGGAACAATGTTCTTATACAAGCCATGAGCCTAACAATACAGATGAGTTGATCCAAGGTTCTTCTAAGCGTTCGAGACAGCTCACGTCATTGATTTGGAAGGAATTTGAAATATTGTGTGTTGAACCAGATGGTTCACAAAGAGCACAATGTAAATGGTGCAAGCGTGATTATGCATGTGGTGGAACAACCGGAACAAGCAACTTATGGCATCATCTTTCAAATTGTACTAAGTGTGGACAATCTGAGTTTGAAGAGCGGTCTCCAATTGACCAAGGAATTTATCGGGAAAAGATGGGAATTGCTATTGTGAAGCATAACCATCCTTATAGACTGGTGGAGCAAGAAGGAATTCGAGACTTGTGTGTATACTTAAATTCAGATGCTTTACCTATTTCAAAAAACATGATAAAGGCTGATATTGAAAAGATGTACAAAAGAGAAAAAGAGAGAGTAAAGACAGAACTAAATTCAATTTCAAGTCGAATTTGCCTTACTGCAGACTTGTGGACATCTATTGCAACAGATGGGTATTTGGCATTGACGGCTCATTTCGTGGATGAAGATTGGATTTTACAAAAGAGGGTTCTAAATTTTCACCACATGCCACCACCACATGGTGGTCCAATATTAGCTGAAAAAGTCATAGATTTATTGAGAGATTGGGCTGTTGAAAAAAAAGTTTTTACTATCACATTGGATAACGCATCTTACAATAATGGTATGGTGAATCTGTTGAAGCAGCATTTGAGGCTAAGAAATGCACTATTTTGTGAGGGTGAATTTTTTCATGTAAGATGCAGTGCACATGTGCTAAATTTGATTGTCCAAGACGGTGTCAAAGTTATTTCCAAACCAGTCTCAAAGATCCAAGAGTGTGTGAAATATATCAGAGCTAGTGAATCAAGAAAGTTGAAATTTGCAGAGTGTATTGTTCAAGTTTCTTTGCCATGCAATAAGAGGGTGCATCAAGATGTCCCAACCAGATGGAACTCTACATTTGTGATGCTGGATAGTGCACTTGAATATAAGCTTGCCTTTCATCAGTTGCACGTGGTTGATCGCAACTTCAGCAGATTTTACCCAACTGAAGAAGAATGGCTTAAGGTGCAGAAATTTACAACACTGTTGAGGCCTTTTTATGACCTGACCACCCTTTTTTCGGGGACTAACTATCCAACTACAAATTTGTATTTTCATGGTGTCTGGAAAATTCAAAAAGTTATCATGGAAGAGGTCAATAATTTAGACATTGAAGTGAGTGAAATGGCCAAGCAAATGAAACTGAAATTTGAGAAGTATTGGGAATGTTATAGCTTGGTTTTGAGTTTTGCTTTCATTTTGGATCCGCGCTTTAAAATGGATTATGTGGTGTATGCTTTTAAGAAGCTATATCCTTTTGATTATGAAGAACGTGCTAAGGAAGTTCGGGATAAATTTTATTTACTATTTGAGGAGTACGAGAATACTTTTGATGGTGATTTGCTAGATGGATCAATAGCAAGCTGCTCTGGTGGTGATTTGGGCAATAACAATGATGATTTTGCTGAATTTGAGAGTCAACAACATGCAAACAAGAGGAATAAGTCACAAGTAGACTTTTATTTGGATGATACTCGACTCCTTTCAACTCAAGAATTGGATGTTCTCAATTTTTGGAAAGAAAACAAAAATCGATACCCTATTCTTTCTTTGATGGCATCGGATATTTTAAGTATTCCTATCACTACAGTGGCCTCGGAATCAGCTTTCAGTATTGGTGGTAGAATTGTGGGTAAATATCGTACTTCGCTCCTACCAGAAAATGTGGAGGTCTTGTTATGTACTAGAGACAGGTTATATGGAGTAACAGGTACGTTATACATAACCTTTCATTGCACATGATCTTGTATTTTACTTTTTTGGTCACTTATTGAACTTTACTTTTCATTTCAGCTTCTGAAGATGAAGAAGATAAAGAAAGACTGAGTATTGACTTTGCACCCTTAGTTGCTAAACTTACTAACCTTCATGTTTAGGTAAGCTGTATTCATATGATCATGGAGATTGTTAGAAATGTGGTGAAAAGAATTTTATCTTTCTGTCTAGATGAAATTTAAGTAGCAAAAAACAGAACTTTGAATTTGGTTTTGGTTTTGGTTGCCAGGAATCTTCTCTGTTTTGTGTTGAGCCAGCAGCAAACTTTTAGGTTGCTATCTTTGTACTGTCAAGTGGATATTTGTACTGTCACTGGCACTCCTTCAAGCTGCTTACTACAGGCGTTTGAAATGGTTGGTTTTGAAGTCACGTAAGCTGGTCCTCGATGTTGTCAACTAAACTTGGTTTATTCTTCTCCTTGATGTTTATCAGAGGATTGAAATCAGGGAATAATATTTGTTTCTTGCTACAATATTTGTCTCTCTGCTGTGTTAAGTTTGTTCAACCTGCTTGGTGGTCATTTGTGCTAGCAGAGCAACCTGCAGTTATTATGCAAAATTGACACTGAAATTTGTGCTAGCAATGCTATGCAGTTGAACGAAGCTTGAGAAGCTGAATGCTTGTTATTCGTATTTATTGAAAATTTGTCTTTGTTTGTATGCTAAATGAAGTGATTGCTAGTCTTCATCAGGATTTTTAACTATTTTTTATGTTAAGTATTTTTGTTTTATTTATTATATTTATTTGTTAGTTTTATCTTATCGCTTTATTTCCTTGTAATTTATTAATTTGATCATTTTTTAGTATCATCAATTTATGACAAATTTTAGTTTCCTTTCTTACCTTTTCAAATGAAATTTTAAATTTATAAACGAAAAAATACTAGGGGTTCAAAGTTTTGGATTAAATTTTTTTGTTAACTTTCATATTATTTAGTCCAAATTTTTAGACTCTCATTGTTCAATTATTAAATAATATGTAATTTTGCGACATGGCACGCGGATGGAAAAAATTGATAATTAGACTTATTTGGCATAATAAGTAAATATTTAAAATTAATGATGGGTGTAAAATGGTATAAATTGATAATTTAGTTTACAAAATGAATTTATATGAGCTTGTAAAAAATTAGAATAAATGGGTTATAAATGGATAATTGGGTTACCCAACTCATTTTTTGACTTACCCATTTATACCCATCTAATTAAATGGATATAAATGGGTTGACTCACTTATATCCATTACCCATTTTACCTAATCCAAACCCACTCAAATCACCCATTTTGCCACTTCTACCTAGACCCCAGAGATCCATCTATCCCACAGTGTAAGAGTAAGCATAGGAGTAAATTAGCAAACATGGTACTGATTAAAAAAAAAAGCACATTCATTTAACATCACACCATGTCAAACGTTTATGACTATCCATTTTTTGTTTTTTTTTCCAGAATTTTAAATTCTTAGAATCTGATGTTCCTAAAAAGGTCTTTGATTGCTGAAAAGGGTTTACTACACTTGGCCACCTTAAAGTTCCTTTTATTTTCATTTTGCTCCTTAAATATTTAGCTAGAACCTTTACACGCTTTTCTTTCTAAGGTTGGCTTTTCAAGCCTTACAAAAGCAAAAGAAAAGAAGGGAAGATTAGAAAGTTGAATTAAAAACCTTATGATTTTTTATTAATGTCTTCCAATTGGATCAAAGCTTGAGATTCTAATCTATTAATGTTCACATTATAAGGCCTTTTCTATATAATGTCGTAGGGTCGCACAATAAACAAACTAAAAATGGACGGTGGTTCCACCCCTGGTTAATTTCTCTTCTAAGCTTTAATTGACGCTCATCAAGCCTTATATACTTTAGTATAAACTTCCAAGCTTTTAATAAGAAACTTGTAACATGACCATTTTCTCATAATCAATAGCACATAAATTTTAAAAAAGCTCTTCGACTTTGCCCGCATTTTATTCTTGCTTTTCTGGATAAGATTGACATTAATTCAATAATTGAGTTCTAGGAATCACAAAGAATGACGAAAATCTTTAAAAGAAAAATTAAACAAAAAAACACCAAGTGTAATAAACAAGTCATACTTATTGCAATTCTAATGACTAGTTTCTTTCTCCAATTTTAAACATAAGAATTAGTTCTTCCTAATATATAGCAATTCATTGAATCAAGTTTATCAATTCCTATACTTAATTTGGTGTTTTCATCAATTAGCAAACGATTGGGTTACTCTAGTTTTTATAATTGTAGGAGAGAACTCTTTGATAATACACTCTAGTTATGGTAACTATGGTATTAGAAAAAACAATGTACTAGTAATATCATTTTTTGCAAAAATGAAATTTGTATTTAAAACTTGAAACATCTTAAATTTATATAACTAAATAAATGTAAAAAAAAAAAATACAGGGTGTCACGTCTAGTCTTTTGCTTTTGGTCTCCAACTTTTAATGCAATTAAAAATTTCTTAATTATTGGCTTGGATTGAGGGATTTGAAGAAAGATTTGAAATCTTCTCAAACACTTCTAAATATTTTGGATTACTTGGGTTGAATATGATTTTGGAATTCACTAATCATTGAATGCATTTAAGCAGTAAAATAAATGGTGGATTTTAAAACCAAAGGCCTCCGAAGTAATTCAAATGACCTAGAAGAATTTGAGAGGATATCAAATTTTCATCAAATCCCTCAATCCAAATCCGTCATAAAACAAATTGTTGCGACACAAAAGGGCATTATGGTACAAAATTCTATTCTCTCTCTTGAAATGGTTTATCCTTTATTGATCTGGGTTGACATGGTGTACAAATATGCCAGTTATTCAAATTTGGAAGCAGGCAGGATTTTAAGATACGAATAATGAAGTGTCCAAAGCAAAAAAGTCTACATTTAAAGTGTTATATTACAAAATGAGACATGATGGTGCAACTTTATGTCGCACTAATGCTGAATTGCTAATCCATATCAAATGTAATTCCAATTTCCAAACCTTTCTTTCTTGATGGAACTGCCAGCCATTTTTTATATCTTTGTTTTTGAGGTAATAGTTTACGGCCAAAAAAGTGCGCAAAAATATCAAAAAGGGCCTTGGGAGGAGGGGGAACATAAAACGTGAAATCCTTAGAAAACCGCAAGTTTAGTTTCTTTACAGTAGTTCACTTTGCAATCACGGCTTTCCTCCTCTTAAAGCACTTTGATCTTCACCCTGTTCTCAGGGATTTCCGATACTAATTCCATTGTTGGCTTCAAAAATCATTCTATAGAACATACGTTAAAGTAAGTGTGTGTAATTATCATGTGTTAAAGTAATACTTGTCATATATCATCTCAATTCTGAAATCTTCTCCAATGCTGATAATACAGCGTTGATATGATCCTTCAAACCAGCATATGTGCTAGTTAGACATTTTTCGTGACTTTTCTATAAATCAGTCTGACTAATACAGAAATTTTAACTGCTTCTCTTATTTTTGAGTAAAGAACCATAAACTTTTACTGTTTGATATGTTAAAATCTCTGTGACTTGCATGGAACACTTGTAATGCAGTAAATACCATGCAGAGACAGAATTAGGAAAAAGAATTTAAAAGCATTTTTCTTTGCTGTTTACTCTTTTCTTCTCCAGCTTTAGTGAATCACTGTCCCAAGCTAATGAAAATTACAAATGAAAGAAACTTCATGTATAGTTTTGTTAAGCAATTTAACTTTCCGTACGTCCTCTAGAGAGATTAATTACAAACAAATAAAAAATCTCAGGAAAAAGGCGCAAGATTCTTGATTAAGTGCATATCCTCTGTCCTCGGACACTTGCAGCTGCTGGACAAACTAGGGGACGGGAAAGTGGTTGATGCTCCAAGTTAACTAAAAAGAAACCCATGAGGGCCAAAAGCAGGGTCTGTTTCTTAATCTAATTACTATGAGCTTGGTGATTCACCATATTCTTTTACACATTGAAATTAAAATCATGAAAAGCTTAATAAATATCACATTGAATATTTATATGTTTTTCATTGTTTGTCATTCTGAATAATTCCTGTTAATGTTCAAATATCAACTGATATTTTCTGATGAAATATTTTTAACTAACACGAATTCTTATGAAAACTAAAACATTTATTTAATAAAAGTAATTTATCTAATTTCAATTATTACAACTAAATTTATGTCATCATCTTTTACACACTACAATGCTCTTCAATAGAAACTTCAGAGCAACTTGTGAGTTAGAAACTTATTTCATCATATAACGGAGGACATGAATGTCTTTTAGACCTTTCATACATATAAATGCCAACTCATATGTTTGACCATTTTGTTTGTGGGGGGTAATTTGTGAGTTTTCAAATTATAGATATAATCTACTACTCACTTCTTATTATAGGGGCAACTTGTAATTAAGCCAAATATTGCAATTAAGTGTTGTTAGAATGGATAGCCCTCGGAGCGATAATCTTCTTGCCAGAGCAATTAAATTTGTATTTACTCTCAAATATTTAATTTTTGTTAAATACAAAATCTACCAGTTTCCCTTCCGTAAAAATATTAATTAATGTAACACTTTTTCAATTTTAGTACAAATATTTATGTATTTAACATAAATTAAATGATTCAAAATAAAATGCCTATAAAGAGCCAATACTTTACTCATGTAATGGATGAAAGCCATAAAGAATTAATACTTTATGGGCCATTTCTTTTTTTACAAATGTTTAATTTATATTAAATAGATAACCTAGCGATTTCCTTTTTGTAAGAATATTACTGTAACACTTTTTGAATTTTACTTACAAACATTGATATATTTATCATAAATTAAATGTTTGAGAGTAAAATGCCCATAAAGAACCGATACTTTAAATAGGTAATGTGTATTTGCCCATAAACTACGCCCCTTAAAGTTTATTAATTGTTAATTGATTTGTAGTACTGTGTCATTCATTTGCTAATACTACTTGACATGTAGCACAAAAAGCAAATCTAGTACAAACTTCTCATTTCACTCCCTAAAACAATATTTTAATCGTTTGAACTAAATTTGCAAAGAATTAGTAAGGTTAGGGGAGGTTAGTGCAATTTTTTAAATCACAAGGGAGGTCAGTGCAAGTGTCAGAATCCTCAAGAGAGGTTTCTTCAATTTTACCTACATTAAAATGATTGAATTGATGGTTCGGATGTTTGAACTGATAAAGTCAAAACCAATCACTCATTTTGTTTATTACTAGTCTGCGTTTCAAAAATATTTTTAACTGTTAAAGTTGTTCAAAATGTGGAATACTTTAAAAAAAATCCTCCCTGAATTTCTAGTAATATCATTTAGCACCCCTATAGTTCTAAAAGTATCACTTACCTTCCCCACAAGTGAAATGCGACAAAACTTCACGAATACAATAATCTTGTTTCATCTTCTCCACAAAACCCTCAATGGACTTTTTCTCAATTCCCTGTAGCATTAAATTAACTCCAG